ACAGCCCTCGGGGGCGATCCCGGGGCCGCTTTGGCGAGGGGGACGCAGCCCGCCCGGCCCACGCCAACGACACATCTCAGTGCTCATTTCAGCATTGAATGCCGAAATGCTCTTGAGTGACAAAACAGCCTCACAGGAGCGGGTATCTTCGGATGTGGCCAGCACCTGGCAGGCCCATGGTACCCGGGCGTGTATTCCCTCCCGCCCTCGGGGGCGATCCCGGGGCCGCTTTGGCGAGGGGGACGCAGCCCGCCCGGCCCACGCCAACGACACATCTCAGTGCTCATTTCAGCATTGAATGCCGAAATGCTCTTGAGTGACAAAACAGCCTCACAGGAGCGGGTATCTTCGGATGTGGCCAGCACCTGGCAGGCCCATGGTACCCGGGCGTGTATTCCCTCCCCCTGCCCTCTGGCCTCAGCCCGCTCCCCCGGCGGAGGGCCCCGAGCGCCTCGCAGCACACAGCTCGGCAACAACCAGCCAACGCACCAAAAAACAAACCCCAGCAACTCTTACAGCTGTACTTTTATTCGGACGCTTTCCAGTGATAGCTATTAGGCTACAGTTCTTAGGATGCATACATTTACTAAGTACAACATCAGACACTACAACAGATCCGAGCTCCGGTCATTCTGGCGACGTTTGGGTTTCCATCCATGTGCTGTAGTGGCATCGAGTGAAAACCTACGTTTAAAGGCTTTTATTTATCACATGAAGTATCAACATCTCAAAAGAACAAGTGTTCGCTCATAGTTTTTGCACGGTATTTGAAACACGTTCAGTTTAAATCACAAATTACAGAGACCTTCAAATTGCAAATGCTGGTGTTTCCATTACTGGATATCAATCCACTTTTCAACATCGTGGTTGATCCTATTTTTTTCCTGTGATAGATTAATCACATTTAGCAGACTCAAGCACTTTCATGTTACATCCCAGATTGAAGTCTGAGAAGCAATTTTTCAAACTTTGGGTAGAAGACTGTGTCCTAAACATCAGAATAAAATAATCACTGGAATAAAAATACACCAAACTAAATGAGGTAATTATTGTGCAAAATCTCTAGAATAACCACATATAATTCTAAGGGGACATTGACAAGTATTTTTCCAGCATCTGATAAAATCTATCATAGCAATAGATAATAAATTAAAATATAAAAGATATGTCCACATTAAAAGAGCAGAACAATGATTAAAAGGAAAAAAAAAAGTTGTTAAAATAATTCTGCATTATATTCCATGGTTAAAGACATATTACTCCTAAATGAAAGATATATTATACGCTGACACTAAAATTTTACTTCTGAAAAGTGCATGTAAAATACTGCCGTGTAAAATGTTAGATGAATTACCAGCTACACATCTATTCCAACTTAAAAATATTTTCCTTTAAAACACGTCAAGCAGCATATACTTTTAATGTGATATAAAAGTAATACCAGTCAAACCACTGAGTTCCAGGATAATACCTATAAATTACTAAACACTACTCTTTTTAAGGAAACAAGATACAATAAGGCTTTTTACAGGTAAACAAACTTAAAAAATAAACAAAAATACATTTAGGCATACATTTTAATACACTAATGCTTAAGTAGTGGATACATTTCCTGATCTACAGTATGAACATACTGTAATGCCAATTGTTTGTTTTTCAATAGGAGAAAAGAATTGTAGGTCAGCATGTCCTCACATATTTTCTTTCCTAACCTTGTTACTGAGTGTGAAGGCTTTCCTATTACATTCTCACAAGTACAGTACCCTTAACAGTCTGAAAACTACATTACACCTTATTTGGAGCCACTTAGCTGTAGCCGTAGTTTCAGAAATCAAGTAACGCTTGAGAAAATAGTGTTTGGTATACCATGCACAGGAAAACAATCTTAAACATTTAGCAAAGAGCATTCAAAAAAATTTATGCAATGCAGTATTAGGCTCTTGGAAGTACTGGCATGAGCCATCAAACTTAATACGGGGCATATGCTTTTGAGAATGAGAAAACATGAGCATCTTAAAACGATACCAACAACATTTAAGTTGCTTTTACTACTCATTTTATGAACCATACCAACAGCGTGTCTTCCCCTCAAGTAAAACATCACTGAAATGTTTCAGTCTGCTTAACAGCAAATTTTTTCCTGTGTCTTTGCCGGCAAACTGGTTAGTACCAAATAATCTAATAGTGTACCTCTATATTATTTCTCAACATTTTAAAAGCAATTAATGTTTATGCTAAATTGTTAGTTATTATAATACATAAAAACATTGCACAATGCACTTGAGCAATGTGTGGGGCCTTTTTTTACATGTCTATTCAAGCCATACACAAAGTAGAGAACTGGAACCTTAAGCAAGGCTCCTGCACTTACATTGCACATTGTCAAGTGGGAATTCTATGTAGAAGATCCAAGATGTGCGAGACAGAAGAATCTTTCCAATGAGATATGCAATATCCAGAATAACTCAGTTTCTCATTATGCACTCTGGATCTCCAACCATTAAATCAGCATGAATCATAGTCAAATGACAACATCATAGTCAAAACCTACTTAACATTCTTTTTAGTCAGCCTTTCAAGTAATGAGAGCCTTGAGCTACTGCAGAAGCTTCCTATTAAAGTTTTCCCCCTCAAATTCCAGCACGAAAGATTACTTTTTTAAGTGGCAACAAAACAAAAGAGATTATACCCAAAATACACACTGTCATCTCCGGGGTCTACGAAGAACATCAGACGAACTACAAAATCTAAATAAATACTGAAATCATTATTGACTTGTGATAATTTGCTTCAAGATTCTGTATTTTTACCTAAGTACTTTTAAAAATAACTAAACGTGTAATTTCCAGTGTGCTACTTGTGCTTAGTTACCATTTTCCTCTACAGGTGTTATTTGATATCATTTGCAAAAATCCAGTTAGAATAACAGGCTGCATTGAACTGTAAATAAGGTTGACAACAAAAAGTGAAGTATTTTATTTTTAGTGCTTAGTATGATACTGTCGTACATTTAGAGGAACACAATACGCAGCAGCAATTTAGTATGCTTGGTAAACCACAGTACTAACAAATGAACACCTAAGTTGTAGCATATAGTGAGCTTTAAGACTTATCACTAGGATTTATGTCTGACATAAATAAGGAAGTGGTTTAAGAAATCACTTTATATATTGCCAGTTTGTGTTTCTCCATTCCAGTTTTTACAAATTAAATGTAACAGGCTCCCAAGTGACTGTGTGTTCTCCTACAGAACGCCTCACTTTCAAGTCTTCCTTGTTCAGGACTGTGACTGTCCCTGTTGGTCCCTGCCTATGAGAAGGTTACACTTGGAGTTTAATTTACACTATTTAAATACGTTACTGAAGACCTAAAAATGTCTCTAAACAGCTGAAGACACAATTTTTGTCCGTGCCCTATTTCCGTATTCTGGAAATGTACGAATTAGTGATGTCCTTGTAAATGCAATGACTGAACGCAAATGCACACCTTTCTACCAGCCTTCGACCTGTGGTGCTGTTACGTAGCTTTCCAGCTACTCTTACTACAGAGCTGGACATACATAGACTGCTCAGAAAACGTGTTTTCAGTGGCTCACTATGTTTTAATGGATAAAGGTATCGGGCAACTGATTCTCCAGCTAACACTGACGGTACATCCTTGGGATCAGACACGTGATATGAAGCCCAAGCCCAAGCTGGCTGGGATTTGAATGGTTTCCAGTGCCAGGGAGGATGGATTAAATGGGAAAGTAACAGGAAAGATGTGTTTAGCATCCATGAGCAACTGAGGAGAGTCCTTCCTGTCTCGCAGACGCATCTGCAAAGATAAGAAAGTGACTGCATTAGCATATAGCTGCTTTATTGATGATAATCATCTTGCAAAGAGGTAGTGTTTCATCTGTGCTTACACACCCGCTTGTGTGCACTAGAGCACAGTCTGTGCTAACTTGACCTGGTACATTTGCAAGAATTGTGACATTAGACCGGAGTTACTGTTGTCATTTTTGGTTCTGCATATCTTCCCCTTACCATGCAATCTGAAGATACTTAGATTCTCTGCAAAAGGAAGAATTTTTCCACTATCTGGTAACTGCATCTTTTCAGTAAGTGGGACTATAGCTTTATCTCAGCACTACCTACCCAATCTCCCTTATCCTGCTAGCTGTGTAAATCGATTTCTAAGAGACCAGAAACATCATCTTTGTTTGTTGTATTTTGCTGTACTGGCTGCTTTTCTTCAGATTTTTGAAAATGTTTCATTTTCAACATTATATATGCAACTAGAAGGGCTAAAGGAAGAACTCTGGAATGAAGACAGGCCTCAGTTTTCAATGCAGTTGGACACAAGTCTGATAAAAGTAAATTTGTATATATAAATGTTACCACTTGGGAAGCTGGCATACAAGTGTGTTTACACACACAAAGATGCATAAGCACAAAACCTCTCACCTTCCAAAAATCTCATACATACTGACAGGGAAAACAGCATTTTCATGCAAGTCTGGAGGCAGTGAATTGTGACTGCTTAAAGTTTTAAGACTGACATCCCCTTTCCAACGTAGCTCCAAGCCAACAGCTAAAAAGCCTGGTTTACTTAAGAAACATGAATGTACGTCAGGACATAAGCTATTTTGGTTCATGAGAGGGTTTCTTAGAAATAGTCAAATGATTTTGGATGAAAAGATATAACGATACCTGTATTGTACGTATAAATGATACCAAGACTCTCTCTTCAAACTCATTGACTGGAGTATACAAATTCAGAACTTTAACAATCTGTAGAAAAGAACAACCATCCTTAGGTTCATTTTACTCATGAATCAACAAATGTATGCATGGTTACTAATAATACACTTTGTAAATTAGCTAATTTAAAAAGAAAATTCTTCACAAGTATTTGTTATTTTTCGAGTCATAGAGAGTTCCATCAGCTGCTTAGTGCTATACAACTGGTTCCTTCAGGACGTCTTCTTTGGAGGCAGTAAATCTACATTTCTACATGATTGTGGGAAATACCAAACTATGGAAAATCAGATGTTAAGTACCTGATTGTGTTCCTACACAAACACAATTTTGTCTTCCCTGGAAATATGCTTTATTTCTCACCCCGTTTATGACCTTCTGCAGCTTCCATTCAAGAGACTTTATGATTTTACTGTTTTTCAGGAGTGAGCTATTTCTCTAAAACTAGGGCAAAAAGCACCAAAGGAAAGAATTGCATCACAAACACTTTAAATAATAGTATGGGGTAAACTTGTAAAACTTACAAAAAATTCTCTTTGCTTTTTTAAATGACTCTCATTTGAAAAAAACCTAACACTTTTTAGTGAAGTTTAAAAACTTGAAGCACTTATTATTTCAGTACAAAACTAACAGATTTTCCAGCAATGTGAATTACTAAATTGAAATGGCTGTATCAGTGCAACTGCTAGTGCCAACACCATTGGGACAGAAATTGAGAAATTCCTTTCCCTGATGGGAATGTTCAGCATCAGCAAAGGTGGCTGGATACATTTATTCCTGTGCAAGCTCTGTGTGAATGTAGCATGGTTAAAAAAAAAGTGCAACTCACCTGTACAAAACCTGCATTCTCATAAACAGGATCCCTCAGCTGTTTACTGAGCTACACTTTGTTCACCCTTCTGAGGCCAATGGGTACAGTAACTTAACACTTTGGTTTGCAGTCCCTGAGACAACAGCTCTGTGTGAACTGTCCATTAACTTAACTGGATACCAACTGACAGCAGAAAGATTGCTTCCCAGTACCCTGCGCAGAGCTGCCGGGAGTGCAGGTGTCTCGGAGTGAAGAGTCTTCTCTGAGGATATTCACAGACTGAGAGACTATGCGTAGTACCATGCACTGCACAATCTGCTCAGCCTCCTCCCATTTGTTCAAAACTCATCTTGAACATCAGACCTCAGAAAGGTCTGGTTCTTTTTTTACCCCTCCAGCTTAATCTGTTTTAGTTGCATTAATGCAAAATTAATTAAGAAATCTTTGATCCACGCGCAGCGGCGCAGGCAGGCACAGCAAACTCTGCCAGAGCAGGGAACTGCTCCAGTGTGACAGCAGAAGAGACAGTGAGAGTTTGCTTACCTGGGCAGTAGTCAGTGCATTGCACATTGAACAAATGGCTTCCGCATCTTCATCTGTTTTCTTTTTTACTTGCAACAACTGTGCAGCCTGGATGAGGGGTTCCAGTGTTTCTTTAGCCCCGCTATTCATCAGATTTTTATCACGCAGCCATTCTTCCAGTTGACTCACATTGTATCTGTACAAAGATGAAAGAGTATTGAGACGTTAATACTTGACTATGGCTAAATTGCAGGTATGTGCAACTTCTCTTTCCCAATGTTTCTTTTTTGTTCTTATGTGTTTTTCCTTCAACACTTGTAATTTCTTGTAATTTTATCTTCGTACTGTTTACTTCTGATTAAGGCAGGAAATTTTGATTTTTAAAACAGTTATAAACTATGGCCAAAGACTTCCACTAACTAGCTTTTTCCATGTGTTTCTGTTCCTTTAATTGCAGAAATGTGTTAAATATAAGAAGGCAAATGATATTTTGTCCATGCAAACGTACTGTGAGGCTTTTCAAGGTTACCTGAGGGACTGGAATGCCTTAGCTACATTTCCTGGCCTATGCCTGCAGAATGTATTGGACAAATGCAGGACTAGAATAAGACGGTTTTACCACAGCACGCAGCAAACTACAGCATGGATGAACACAGCAGGTATTGACTGCACCAGCGGCATACAAAAAACACCAGAGGCATCTTTGCTGTTCTTCTCTACAAGCTGAGAAAGCAACTTCCTACTTGGTGATGAAATACTTTTTATTTGCTTCTATAATATTTCCTTGAAAGCCAGGTAGGATTTGGCCTAAGTTAACCAAGCTCTTTTTAACCGAACCTCACAAACTCAGTTTGTTGCATCTGCAACTGTTTATAAGTGGAAAAATAAATATTCAAAATGTATCGGCTATTCCATCAAAATGACATGAGTTCTCCCACCTTATCTGCATTCCTTTGCTCCATGAGCACATGTCCTTGCGCAGGAGAAGATTATTAAGTGTTATGGCCCCAATGATGTAGAACATCTGCTTGACGACCTGTTTGATCAGCTCTGGATCCATTCCGTGCTGACACATGACTGAATGGAAGGAGTTTAGCTGCCGAATAATCGAGTCCAAAGTGTAGGTTCCCTCATCAGCAATGCTGGACGTTCTCTTCCGCAGCCCTGTTGGTTTCACCCCTGAGACACCTTGGATAGTCTCATGCTCCAGCATTCCTGAAACTGTATTTGATTGACAATATTGTTACAACGACTGAAAACTGCTGATATTGCAGCATGTTGTGGAAGACTGCAAAACTACATTTACAGAGGAAGTGCAGGTTGGGCTTTCTACTAGCCACACTTTACCATGATTTCCAGCAATTCTGTGTCCCACTACGTTCTGCAAAATCTAAACTTGGAGGTTTTTTTACAAAGATTCCAGCACGTGTATTTGAAAAGAAAGTCTAACTCTAGCTCAGCAAAATGGTTTTTATCTTCCATGGTCACGTGAGCAGCAGAGTCCCCAAACCAAAAGCTGTTCCATTCTTGTAAATGTTATGACCAAAAAGCATAATGAAAATTTGTGTGAGAAAACTGTCAAGAAATGTTTCACTTTTTTCATGAAAAACATCTCTTTTGAGTGTGAGCTTCATCACTGCTAGCTATTTCATTGCTAATTGTTGTCCATAACAACTAACCATTTTTCTGTATATTAATTTTAAGTTCTCAGGTAACTAAAATGTAATTTTTTCATGGAGTATTTCACAACAGACAAGGCAACAAATACCAGACTGTCCTAATAATTTCTTCCTGTAAATGCATGATTCAAACAAGTATAAATAAGGTTTATCAATTTATTCTGTCACTAGCAGAAGAACCAGCCACAGTTTAGCTTTTCCTCTATTCCAACCTGTCCAGTGTAGTCCTTGTCATCTATAAACAGAATACCACAAGAACTATTAATGAAACTCCATGGGTTAGGAAGAAATAGAAGATATAGCATATTACCACCATCACTATTTTCCTTTTTGGTAATATGGTGTGAAGTTTAAGGAATTCAACTTTGCCTTACCAATCATGGGTTGCAGAATGTTTTCCAACACTCGGACAAGTTGTTGGTAGATCTGAATAGCCAAGTCACTCAGGACTTGTCTGTATTCAGCTAAATCAAAATTGGTGAGGCAGTGTTCATTTTGACGAGGTGTATTATGCTTCATAAAACCCTGAATTTACAAAATAAAAGAAACAAATGCTTCAATGGAATACAAAAACATGACACGAACCCAGTATTTGTATTTCTTCATGCAATGACAAATAATACTTTCAAAACAATAGTTGCCGGTGCTCAAACCTAAAATTTTGAACTTCTGATGGAGGTTAATGCTAGGATTTTCTTTTCAATTGAGATTTGTGCTTCAAGTATCTGACACAGGAACAAACTCTGCCAGCCTCCCACTCCAGCACCGGCATTCTCCCCAAGCCACTTACAGCCAGGTAGGTTTGAAAACAGGAATTTGGCATAGCACAGCCTCCGAACATAAATTGGCCAGCCATACTAAGGTTAAGGGCTTCATAAAGCCTTTTTAATAGGAAATGTAGTGGATCATTACACAGCAACTTAACGGTGGCAGCCAGATTCTTCTTCTTAATCTGAGTTGGCACTTTGGGGAGCCCAGTGTCATTTAGCCTCTGGGTGCCCAGCCTGCAATCAAGGGAAGCTGGTTCAAATCTCATCTCCCTGTGCTCTCCACTTACATCATCACTATCATCCCCAAAAAGTGCAGCCATTTTAAGAGACTTTGACTAGAATCTGAGATATTACAGGAATTCATTAAAGAGTAGTGCTCACAATAGTATCATAGAGCAAAAGAAAGCAGAGTAGGCACACTGCTTACCTCCTCTCCACTATATTGCTTCAAACAGTGCAAAAATCGGCAGGTGTTAGATAGCCAGAAGGACACTGTTTCAAAGTCATCTCCTCGTTTCTGAAGGTAAAAACAAACACATTTCAGCAAAGACTGATAGGAGGAATAAAATAATAAAGTGTTAGATAAATGATTAAACACTTAAAATCCACTTTCTTGTAGCTAGTGGGATTCTGACACTTTGCAAAACCTCAGGGTATTTCAGTGCATTATTAGAAAAACAAGGTTTTTGGCAAAATACCCTCCCTGTTTTCTGTAGTAGTTTTTCAAGAACCTTCAGAAAAGAATTTCCTCCCCAGATATCATCCGTCTGTGTTTTACAAACCCACCCTAACTGCTGTGTGCATAAATCACTGGGCAATATGACTGTATTCCCAAAACATCCATTCCGTGGCACAACAGCTCTTGTGAAGAGCCCAACAGGGAGGACGGGAGTGATGCAGAGCCAGCAGGAAGAGCAGAGAACAATTCAGTTCTGATGAATGTCACTCATGTCATAACCAATTTTGGTAGATTGATATGGAAAACAAAACAAAACAATAAACCCTTCTCACCAAGGAACACAAGATCTAGTATGTGATGACTACTGAAAATGTCTAGAGCTCTATGGCATGCACTCCATTAACTTAAAAACATCCAAAAATTTCTATGAATATCTAAGCTCCTGCAGGACTGTTTACTAAATGTTTTTTAAAACATGTAGCTAGATTAAATAGTTGGCTTTTGAACACATCTATCTTATTTAAAAACTAAAAAACTCCATGAAGCATAAAGCGTATTTATGTCTTAATAATGCCCTAAAGATACCCCTGGCCTAAAGGCTCCCAGCCAACTCGCTGCGAAGACTTTAGGAAGAAACATCATCAGTGTAATCGGTAGGTGAAACAAATGAGGCAATCTGTGAACCAAAACTGCAAATGAAACATTGTAATTAAGCATTCTGGAGAAGAACAACAAAGACTTGACATGCAGACTTTGACTACATTTAAAATTTTATAAGCATAGCTTCAGAGGAGGAAGACTACTCAAAATTACAAGAAGGTAGTTCTTTTTCCGTATAAGTATTCCATGTAACAGTTCCATATAACAGTTCTTCTTCCATGTAATACCATACATCTATGGTATTACATGGATAAAATGCTATCAATGTTATTTGTTGAAAAGTCTTCAGTGACTTCAGTGGGAGGAGTTTACTGAGCAGAAACCCACAGATAATTCATTGAAATCCTTTTTCTCACTCCTCTAACATAAAATCAAAAGAAAATTTCAAGTTGATGTTTTTCTAAACCAAACAGACTAACCTTCAACACTTTTTTGATGCCATTGATTGTGGAAGTCAACAGTGACCGCACTTTTTGGTCATCGTTAAGGTAATCCGCATGGCGTACACACATGAAGAGAATATATGCTGGTAGTCCTGGAATCAGGTTGACAGCTACCCCACGTGGTTTCAGCTCTTAGGAAAAACAAACACGCGTTGTTTTTTTAAGTGCAAAGTCATTAGAAGATGTTATCAGGTAATCATAAATACCTATATATGGCCAGTAAAGAGACCAAGAACAAAACTGAGACTAAGACGAGCCACTTTCTTGGTCAAATACCAGAACAGAATAGAAAAACATAATTGCCTGCTAAAAAATATGCAGACACATTAATATGTACTATACTCACCAAAAAGGATGATTAGATTACAATAGGCATTTAGGAATTTTACACAAATTTAACAGTATCAAAACCAGAATAAGAGATTAATTTCATACTGCAAATTCTGTGTTCTTATCGTCCATTCAGGGAGGCTGGAGTAAAATGATCTCTAAGGTCCCTTCCAGCCTAAGCCATTCTATGATTCTATGATTTTCCAGAGTGCGTGGGAGCAGAGGAGGTCGCAAGTGCGAAAGATGCTTACCTAAAATAAGATTCTTGACAAGCTTTTGTTCATCCTCCTTCTTATATTCTAACATCCCTTGGAAGTCCTTTTCTTTACGTGGAATGTTAACTGGACGAATAGGTTCATCAATGATTTGTCCAGGTGATATGTTCTCCATCTGGCCCACTTCAGAGGGGAAATTAAAAAGAATTATTTAACATTTTCCAGTGAAACCAATACATCCCAGAGGAAACAATGACATTCCTAAGGAAGAATGCCAGCATATAGAAGTAAGAAATTTTTTCTTTGGTTCAGGGTAACATTTATCAACAAAAACCCCATTAAACAAAATGAAGGATTGTAGATAAATGTATCCTGGGGTGGCATTCCTCCTTTGAAGAGTGGAAGTGTGTGAATAACATACATTAATACAAACTGTTTTCCTGGATTTTATCACATAAAAGCACAAAGGTGAAGCGACAGCCATTATTCACTCAATCCCAGATTAATACTGCAAGGGGAACTGTTAACTGTCCTGCAGAATGACTATTTTTTTCAAGCTTGATCTTTGTTGCCTGTTGTGGCAGGTTTATCTCGACGGGCAGCCAAGCACCCACACTGGCTCCAGCAGGACAGGGGAGAGAATATTAAGAGCAAAAGTGAGAAAACTTGTGTGTCAAGATCAAGATGGTTTAATAAGTGAAGCAGGGCAAGAGAGGGGAGCAAAGCAAAGGCAATCACTCATGACTTCCCACAGCGGGACCGATGCCCAGCCAGCCTCCAAGCAACAGCTTCCTTGTATGAAAAAAGCCCCTCTTCTGGCTCCTGATGTTCCGTGCTATGAAATATGGAACATTCCTTTGGCCACCTTGGGTCAGCTGTCTCAGCTGTGTGTCCATGTGCCCTCCTGGCCCCCAGCTTACTGAGGGGCTGGAGCAGGAAGAAAGAGAAAACCTCAACACTTTGGAAGCTCTATTCAGCAACAGCCAAAACATGAGTGTTTACCGACACCGCTGTAGCCACAAATCCAAAACACAGCATCACGCAGGCTGCTATGAAGAAAGTTACCTCCATCCCAGCAAGACCTGCTACACCTTTCTAAGTTAATTAGGTAATAAACACAGACAAAACTAGATTTTCAGAAGCATTTTCCCAATCTGTATTGTGCATGAATACTACTGTGATCTTGTCCACAAGTAGTATCCAAGCAATAAAACACACGTCGTTTGAGTAACGCTTCAAAAGGATGCATGAAATATCCACCTTGTTGCATACAGCGTCTCACAGCATCACATTCAACACCTACACTCCACCTGATTAGGCTGCATGTTTGTTTCTGAGAAGCAGAACTCAGCTTCATCCCATGGAAACTATGTCATCTTCTCACAACCCTCCCAGCTGCACGCTACAACCTACTGTGCATCCTGGAACTGTGCTAAATGTGTGCTCCTGTCAAATGGGACAGAAAATGCAGAAATCCAAACTGGAACTCAAGGAGAGCTCTCACTAATTAATGGATATTATACTCCTGCTAATCCAGGTTTAACTTGGTGTCACTGTTCTTTCAAAATGCTGCAACACTGAAGACTACACAGCCTTAGTACTCAATAAAACAACTCATTAAGCAGTAAGCTTGTTTATGGAAAACACAAATGACCATACAAAACTTCTGAAAGGTTTTGAAAGGTTAGGTCCAGGATTATTTAAAAACAAATCTATGCTTCATCTTTGTAACATTATTAATTGCTTTAAGCAATTAAAATTACTTTACTTTGCAGATATAACAAGCTCTCAGTCTCACCAGTCCTAATATCCTAAGGCAACTCACACTGACGCTCATAAAAACAAAATTAGCTTAGTCCGTATCTCTGTGTTCTCGTATTCGAGTTTCGCCAGCAGCTCCGAAGGGAAACCTCAGGCGGACAAAGACATTCGTGGCTCCAGTCATATTGAAATTCACATTCAAAGGAAAACTGCGTAAATTACTTCTGCCTGGTTCATATTTAGTATTGCTTTTCTCTTGACAAAACCAGATACTGTTTCTGAGTACACAAACAGCCCAGGTAATATTCTTTTATGTTCAAATGGTTTCTTCCTTCAGAGAAACATCAATCTCCTTTACTCCTTATTTCAAAATATTACAAATCTTCTAAAGGTTTATAAAGGAGCTCCAAGAGTACCTCCTGTTTCTGGAGTGAATTAACCAAGGTTAATGCTACTGAAGACCTCATGCCCTCCTGACTACTAAAACAGATGGATATGATGACAATGAGATCACAAAAAGTAAAGCAAAATCTTTCTCTGAAAATACAGAAGTACCTTCAAGTTCACCGATCTTCTTGGCAAATACTTTCAACTGTTTCTTTAGCTTGCGAACAGTTTTGTCTTGCTTTTCTAGCTGCTCCATTAAATCCTGTAAATTAAAATGAGAGAAAGGTGAAGACAGGAGAAAAATCCCTTAAGGTGTGACAGAGACAAAATCAGTGCTGTTAGAATTACAAGGCGGTGAGGAAAGCTGAACAGTGGTGCCATCCTCTGGCTGCGGTTTGCAAGCTGGTACACTGCCTAGAACACAAGCCAAATATTGCAAATATTATTAAGTTTTGTGCAGCACAACAAAGGCAAAGCTTTTAGGGAGGTATATTCTGCGGACACTCAGAACTAGGTCAGTTCTTACAGCAGAAGACATTTTGCTGCAAACACATCTCCCTAATGTTTTCTCTTTGCTCTTCCAAATGCCTCGCAGAAATAATTTTCTTTATTATTTAACATCTAGCCTGTATTTCCACATCATTTATTCATGCCTTCAGGACTGACTTGTTATTCAGCCCTATCCATTTTATAAGGCGGTAAGAGAGAGATCTGCAGAAAGACAACAACTTGCATTCAAATCTACCAAAATCAAACATCCAAACAAAATATGTTCTATGATGGTCTGCCATTTCCCTGTTGCTTGCTGTCATCACATTTCCTTACACTGAGGCTGATGTCTTGGGTCTTTTTATTCTGAATAATAACTAGCATCTAAAGTCTTACTCATGCAATAAACTTGTATTTTTCATTCAAAGGAGCACTCCCCAGAAAACTAGCTTTGAATAATTCTGTGATTATGGTACTGCATTCATGAAATAATCATGTAATTAAAAAAGGGAAAGTCCTTTTAAACGAAGCAAAACCTCAAGCCCCCAAAATCTGAAAGTTATTCCAGGTTACGGGTCTGAATGCAGCTTAAAACAAAAATGCCGTTTACTAAGTGTGATTCTTCACAGCGCTGGTAAGAACGCAAGGGACCATGAGGTCCCTACATCAAAAGCATTATCTGGGAAACTACACCTTTTCTGAAGTATTGAAAATATTAGTGCAGCATGGGCAACAACTTAGAATTAAGCATAAACTGTAATTAATCGTGTAGTAAAGAATTTACAGCCTAATGCAATATACTTGAGCAGTAAGATATTAGGCCTGCTGAAAGAAGAGAATCAAGGCCGTGCTTCACAGTTGGAGCAGTGTGCAATTTTACAACAGGAATCTTGTTAATAATGCAGTACATAATTTCTCCTGAAATCAATAAAAACCATACATATAAGTCCAACAGACTGTTTCAGATATATCAGTGAAGGGATATAATTTCGGAGCAACAAATACATGAGGAGGAATAAAGTTCTTTCTATGGTGCTTCTAAAAATATGGAGTAGATTTCATATCTCATTAAGATTCAGAATCTCATAAATTATATTCTTTCAAGCTTAGCTATAGTGCTATCTTTAATTATAATGGAAACATAATTTCCAATTTTACCCTTCATATTTTGCATTTTTCGAAAAGTATTAAAAGGTCATGCATTTTGATTCTGATCTACTTACTCATTCCAGATGCCAGCACTGTAAAGAGATCAATGAGCAAATTCAGGCTATGACGGGATTGCAGGCATTATTCACCTTCCTAAGTATCTGTATGATCAGGCCTTTATTTTTCTGAACTGAATTTAAATGTATCAAAGTTTTAAAGCAAGGAGTGGCTCTGAAAATTGAGCATCTTTTGCATCACGTACCTCTTTTTCGGGACACTATTATGTAGCATGTAAAAAGAAACTGCTTTGCTTACAGTGCGAGACTTTGATTAGTAACAAAACTGCATCAAACAGGTTACACAGAGGACACTGAGACTAACAAAAAAGCAGTGAGGGAAGTAATTGGCGTTGTGAAGCTCTCTGCAGGGGATTTCCTTTGAAAAAGAGAAAGGGAGGCAGCCTGCTTTTCAATTAGTGCTCCAGAAATAGCGAACGAGACAACAAAGAAACAGGATTCACGTGATCTACATACAATCATCCGTTTGTAAAGTGAAATCCGGTACGATTGATACTTCTTGGGATCATCTGCATACAACTCCTCATAAAACTGTAAAAACAGGTACAGGATTGTTTTTCCCCCTCCCTTAGGACACTGATACTTCAGGAAGCACTATATAAATTAAACCAGATTAAAACAAGATGAAGAATCTCTGATTTTTAGTAGCCTAGTCCTTAGCTGCGGTGTTCATGCCAGCCGCTCTGAGAAAGTAGCTGATGTAGATGAGTTGCAGAACAGTCAGATCTTCTTACCGTGAAAGCCTGGAATATAACCTTTGTGAGAACCCAGACAGGCCATTTTCTTATGCTAATCAACATGGGATTGCAGTGAATACTGCAATTCTAGTATCACACCTGCAAAGCCTGTGAATTATTTCCACTCTAGGGCTAGGAGTCAAAAGGAAGCATATATCCGACTTGGAGTGGACTTGCAACACTCAAACATCAAAAGTGAAATACTAGGGTAAGAGTATATATTTAACAAGTAAAATAACATTCACTGTATTTGAAAATAAAGATAACTCCTCTGGGATGTAATTACATGACTGTGTGTTGTCTTGGGAACACAGAGTGTGATGAGTAGGTCTCTGGGAGGAAAAAAAGGCTAAATTGTAACATAGGAGGAAGCAGCAGGAGCCAGCTGTCAGAGAGGGAAACATTCACCATTTACCTTTGCTCGTGGGAGTCAGCTGCAGCTGAAGCAAACTTGTATTTTTAATCAGTTTTCCAACATCTATTACCTGAATTATCTAATGCTTTCCTCAAAACCACTTGCAGTAGGACAAGAGCCCAATAACTTCTGTAACACACATAAGCGGGAAGACCACACCTTGGCTTCTAAAAGAAACAATTCACTCGGAGCAAGGACTTTTCTTTCTGAAGTAGCATGGTTCCCTTTACCAAGAAACAGTCACAAGCCAACAATATTTCACCACAGTCCTCTTCAGAAAATTTCCCCAGAAACAAACTGGTCTGCACATGGTGAACATACTCCTTTGTGGGGAAAGGCAAGGAGTTTCACCTGATCTTCCCTCCATACAAGAAAACATGCAATAAACAAGGAGTACCCAGTTGTTAGCTAAGTGATTTCTAACCAAGTTTCTCTTTCTGGAACTATTTCTTCCCTGCTTCAGGCAGGGAGGAGGGAAATGGAAGGAAAAGTGCCATTGAATAATTGAAGAACTACATTAAAGTTTTTCAACAAAACAAATCAATATATTTCAGAGGAAACAGCACTACTCGGCACTAATATTTTTTATGAGTTCCCTGGATATCAGCATTCTATTTAGTGACGATTAAACTCATCAGCTGACAGCTAGGATTCAAGAGCTCTCTCTCCATGCCACAAACTTCAAGTAAATTCCCTGAAATATTATTATTTCATCAGCAGTCCTAAGTCTCTCTCCCATTAGCTGACCTACCAAAAAACCGCCCTGCGCTCATACCAGTTTTTGCAGGGGGTTGCAATCTGAAGCCTGCTGAGAACTTCCAGGCACAGCAAGTAAGCGCCCGTGCCTGCTGCTGCAGCACCGTTTCCCTTACCAAGTTCTCGTTGGTCAGGCGGGTGATCTCATGCTGCAGACTGGCTTCGATGCGTGCCTCGGGAGGCAGCTGCAGGTTCTGTGCCAGGAGCTGCTGCTGCCGGTTGTTTTCTTCCTTCAGACTCTGGATCTCACCTCGCAGTGACTCCAGTTCGTTCTCGTGGCTCTTCTTCTGCGACTGAAGCTGTGACTCCAGCAACCTAAAGAAGTGGAGCAACAGTTGGGTGAGCGCACTTAAGAAAGTTACATCCCTGATTCTCAGAGGGAGTGTAAAGCTTTAGTTGCCGCTCAGGAACAATTAGGCATGGCTTGCAAAGGAAAATGAAAAAGGCAGAGTACTCTTTAAACCCTTCAGTATGCCTTCTAATTAAATTAGGCTTGCAAGAGCAAAAAGTGGAGACAAACTAATTGTGACACTGTTTTGCATTTCCTCTGTGGTTGACACATATTGGGTATGGTGCCGCTGAGAACACGCAGCCATAAATGTACTGCTATGTCTTGAGAGATTGTCACTGCTTTTCAAGGGGCTTTAAAGAGGTTTTACCTCTAAGCAAATCTACCAAACCCTGTAAGATGAAGATGACATTGTGTTCTCTTAAGCTAGAACCCTGCAGTATTAAAGGAAAATCTTTTTGGAGTTAACTCTGTTCAGTCAGCAACTATTTAATTGCAAATGCACATAAATAATCTTTATTCTTACATTAAAACTAAAATTTTGGAGAGGGTTGTCATTAGTGCACAAAAGGGTAACAGCAGAACCAAACTCAGGACTGGGATCCAGGAGCGATATTTTATCCTCACCACTGACTCGCTCTTTCCCCTTGGGGGAAAATTCTTCCCGCGTGAAATGGGGCTAACACATACCAGCCTCCTTCCGAGCAGCGCCGCGGGGATCTGCCCCCGCTTGCCAGGCACTGTCCAGGCGCTCTGACTCACACTTTGTACATATACACACGGGAAATGACATTACTAGTGACTACTAGTGTCCAATTAGACAACCTTTCAGGGTTTAAATATGCATGAGGCAGGTGCATTTATTAGTAACTAGACTGATCAAGCACGCAAGGGCAAATAGTCATTTACCTGCAGGGCTCTGCCACTTAAAGGAAACCTTCTTGTCTCTACAGAGCTAGGACAAGAAACAGGAGGCGCAAAGCAAACGCTCATGTCCTGCTCTGTGGAACGCTTGCTCTAAGTTAGGTCTTCACAGCTCACAAAACAATGTTACGGGCAGAATGCGTTAGCACAAGAAAAGGAAAGACTTTAGTTAGTAGCATCCATTGCAAAATACCTTCTTCTGTAGTTACGGCTAACAAAGGTGTACAACAAAGAAGACCAGCGCTGCTGATCTACTGAATTAGCTGCCCATGCAGGACTAGGAACCCTTTGGAAGCCTGGGACACTACGGATAGGGAGCCCAGGTGTGCAAACTGAGCCAGAACTGCATTTCCTAATGAGGCGAATGTCGCCCGTTACAGGGCCAGTGTGCAGCTTCCTGCAGCGACTGCGCTGAGGCTTGAACCGCGCCGCGATGAACTAAATATTACTTCTGTTGGATGGTTATTATCAGTTTGGCATGGAGAGACATGGAACAAGAATCTTCAGTTTACTGAATTTAAGTCACGACAGAGTAAAGATCCATAACTATTTGAAAGTTAAAGAGTATGCTGAAACTACTCAAACAATAGTTTTATCATTACTAAGATGACTGCAGTTCTTTAAGCTGAAAAACTGTAAGGGACATTAATTTTGATACCTGATGAAAAGGATGACAAATAATACATAGCTGCAAGTCTTTTCCATTTGTGGAATTTCTGGTATTTGACAGTCTATTTTTGTGCAAGTATTTTTATAAATTATTTATTAGTTAACTTTTTAGATGATAAAACTTGATGAGTAGAAACGTTTGGGGAGTAACTTTGAGGACACTCTTGAATTCGTATAATTTGTGATACATTTTTTTCTATCATTAAAGCAATAGAAACACTGTAGCTAAAGCAAACCCATAGCAAGGGGCACAGTTAGCTAGAAAGGAAGATGCAAATGAAGAAAAAAGCCATTCTGAGAAGTCTGGTAACCTGTTGGCTTGTTTTAACCCTTCATAAACCAGCCAAAGTTCTCCGTCCTCATTCAGCATATGATAGTCCTGAGGAGATTGCCTTTCAAGAAAAGTGTTTAAAAAAATACAAGAGAGATACGTGATGGTGATGAGATGACATGTTAAGGACATTGCACACTAAATTATAGTAACTACAAATGACAAAAATAAATGCTCTAGAACAACTTACGAATAAACAAGAGAAGTTAATTTGCTATTTCTTCATAATGACGAAATTCAGTTCTTGGTGTTAGCCCAACTGGTTACAGCATTTCATGGTGTTACAATAGATATATTACAACAGACTACTGGAGAGAGGCTAACAAACCAGCATGAGCAATGGCACCCAGTTTGAGAAATTAAAGGCTAAGATGATGTAAATCCAGGAAGCTCAATTTTGCATTTCCTCATTGTTCCCAAATCCTTTAAAATATTGCATATTAAAAATCGCTATTTTACTAACCAAATCAAATTATAACCCCAACTATAAGAGTTCTCGCAGTATCTAGATTTACATGGATGGAATTAATGACTATAATAAATGGAGTGCATCACAGCAGACCCCAAATTATCATAGATAGAAGAAAGAGAACTTGTACCTGTTTGTTTCCTTCAGTCCAATATATGCCTGTGCAATTTCTCCCTTGTCTTTCATCTTCTGTACGTCCTCCAAGAGGATTGTAGCATCTGTCATGGTATTCTGGAAATAGAACGATGTATTTTGAGGGTAAATTTAACAATGTGATTGCTCTTTGAATCCATGTTTTCATCACTTTACCCACATGGCACTCATCCTTGAGTAGAGACATTAAAATTAGCATTGGTACATGAGCAGGAGGTTGGTCCGTAATTTCTAGACTCATTTGGTCTATCTTTTAAAATGAAAGCATGCAACATGGTCAAATATTCTGTCTAATAAGCGGGTGCATGGGTTAACCTCTTGTCATTTGTTCATCATGTAAAAGGAACAAAATAAAATTTCATGAGATGACGAATTTGCATCTTATTTCAAATGACCAAGAACGGCTGTTAATATTGAAACTAAAGAAGCATAATTTTGCAAGCTTAATTCTGTTAATGTCTTAAATACAGCATTACATGTAGTCTTCAAACGCTCATAAATAAAGCCTGTTCCTCACTTCATATATTTTAAGTACTCTGGCAAAGCAGGAAGTAATTTACAAGGGCTTGAGATTTTTTAAGTCAGGTATCACAATACCATGTTTTTTCAGATTTTAATGTTTCCTGTGGCACTTTTGCTTTTTTAGTTCAGCAAAAACTTTTAAGTCAAACTTAGAATACTTAGCAGATGTTTACAGTCACCTGGGCCAGTCTGATCTGACTCGTTGTGGAATAATTACAGTGGAATCACAGGACTCCGATGAACACAGGAGATGGAATTCTGACTTTTTATTTTTTTGACTTTCAAAACAATCAACTCCTGTCTTCCCAAGTAAAATTTTGCAAAGTACTTACAATAACAACTCTGTGTACATAAATTTCAGAGCCTAGGTCTCTATGCCTAGTATGGCTCATATTATCTAATAAGAAAACCAATACAATATATAAGGTCCTCAAAGAATTATTCCCAACATCCTCATGAGATTTTTGTGATTTTTTTCTATTATTTTATTACACAATAAAACTGTGTCTCATCTGCCAATTTATAAAATTTTAGCAGTCTGACATATTTATCATTTTTCTGCTGATGGGAAGACATCTATGGATTTTGCAGGTTAACAGAGATCTCGTTCCTGAATTACAGTGCTACTCTTACTCTCCAAACACATTCAGCATGATAAATTTGATTGGGCTGACTAGATCAATTCCTGAATCTTTCCTTTCATGTTCAGGTTACCATAAACCAACAGTTCAAAATTTTAAACCTGCTTGTTTCAAAATAATTTGTTCCTTTGCGCAGAGCAGAAAGATGGAGACATGGGGGACATCAGATAATGAGAAAGGTTTTGCAACAACAAAGTGTAAGAACAACTTCAAATACACATATGTTACTTATGAGAGGCAGTGAAATGACAGATCAAGCATGGCTGAGGTTCTTTTTAGCATTTGAGAGTTATGTTTCATAACTGTAGAAGAAAATGTATACCTTATCCTCCTGGCAATCAGATTGGTAGGCAAGAAAGAAGAAAAACAAATCATTAAAAAAAAAAAATCTGTGTGTGCTGCAGCTGTCCAACCTAAGAAGCAGAAGCCTTCTGCAAACTGGCTGTTTGCCATCCCACAGCTCACCTTCATATTTCCCTTATACTCACACCTGCTGTAAAAACATGACGTGCATCTCACCATCGCTGAGAATGAGCTATTCAAGGATTTAGTATTCAAGTATTTATTTATAGTATTCTAAATGTTACAGAAAACTCAATTCTTTTTCTATCTATAATAAATCATTTAAAACAAGATATGTACACTTTCATGCATCACAGATTTTCAATTTATTTAGGGCACATACAAACATAACTTTGCAGTAGCAAAGAAAAGATGACATATCTGTTCACTCCTTGCTGCGGTTATGAAACACTAGATAGCTCAGTTCAGTTGAAATTACTAGTTCCTGGATTTGTGTGATACCTTTTCAGGCTGAATGACCTTTATTTTCAAAGCTATTACTTCCCTGCATATCTCATCAGAATTAGAGCTTTTTTTGAAGATACGAGTTTCAGTGGTTGTAATCTATTCTTCTCAACAAAACCACACAGCACCTATCAAGCAGTAATATGGAATTAATCTATCTTCGTAGGTCATCTTTATGCAATGTTACTCATTTGCAATCACCTATGACCCCCCATAGATTTAGAAGGAATAGTTCCTTGTACCTCCAACTGAACTATTTAATTAAAAAGAATCCTCAAGAACTAGTGTAGATTTTCCAGTCAAACTACATACTCACTAGAGCAAAGACACTTCTCCAAATGAGAAGTATTTCTGCATTGTTAAAGCAGTCTGGGGAGATCCTGGCCAGAGCACTGGTATGTGCCAGCCTGGTGTGATCAGTATGGTATCTTTCCATCAGTGATAGTAGACAAATCCAAAATTGGTTTATTAATAGGATCTCCCAATTCAGAGAGCTGCAATTTGTGCAGGATCAATGGATTGCACCTAGAAAGGCTCTCAAATCCAGACCATTTCTTCCTGCCTTTTCAAGCATGCTGTTAAATTAAAGAAAGCACATCAACGATGCAAGTAAGTTTACTAGACAATACACCTGCTGACTATTATTTACCTTAGGTTGAATAGCCTCTTTCTGGCTAACAAGCTGAGACCTCAGGATGAGCACTTCTTCCTTGCGTACTTCAAGCTCTTCACTGACTGAAATCAGCTGATCCAGAAGGACTTTATATGCAGGAGCACCAGGAGCAGTTACCTCTGGTGATCGTGTTTCTGTGAGGGCCTTCTGCAGCTCATTCAACTCATTCTTCAGTTTTTTATTCTCAGATTCAAGTTCTTGACGCTACAAGAAATAGGGACAATTTCACTGCTCAGCAGCATTCCAATATGCCTATAAAACACAGGTACAAAACTATGGGTAGAAATGGTAAAAACAATGAGTAAGCGGCATGTCAAGGGCTAGGGCTGGGCTGGCCACTAGAAGAATGAGAGATGCTCTCTATTAACCCCTCTCTCTTCCCAAACAGGGAGGGAAAGGAAACAAGGGAGAGAAAATGGAAGATTGGAAAAGAAAATTAAAACAGCTTTAATGAAACAGTAACCACAACAAGATAATAATACTAATAAGAAAACAATGAAATATATACAAGACCAATATCAAGCCCAAGCCCTCAACAGTAATCACAGTAATGCTGCAGAGCAGGCAGGCACCGGGAAGGTCCCAGACTGACTCTCTGGCAGACAGGAACCAGATACAGGAGTTGGATTCGGGAACTGGATTCTGAGATTCATGGATTGCGATTTAAGGCAAAAGAATGGACAGAGTCCTCCTCAGACAACAGCCACTGAAGAAGAGGGCTTGAGCCCCGTGATCCCTCAGCTTTATATTGAAGATGACGTTCAGTGGAATGGAAAACTTTGTTGGTCGGTTTTCGGTCACCTGTCCTGTCCACTACTTACAGCACACAAGATCTAGCAGTGACCTTGGTCACTAAAGGAGCAAGTATAAGCAAGAGCCTTCCTGCAAACCAGTCCTTGTGCATAACTGTAAACATCAGGCATTATCACTTGTATTAGCAGACACTGTCTGGAAAAACATGCTCCCAACTTCAGAAAGTGCAGCCTCATAGAACAGACTGAGCTGAAAAGTAACGTCACTGAACAGAATCGGTCCTGCTCAAACCAGGACACTGCAAACAAATCAGCCAACCTCTCCCAAATCCCCTAGCCAACAGTGAACATGGCCTGGCAGTATTTCACTGACAGGGCTAAGCTTTGTCTGAAGCACATGGCAGAGCACATATACCTGAATTGTACAGATTTGATGGGAAAATCTTTTTTTGCTTTTATTCTTCCTTTAACAGAAACGTTCACAACAAATAGCCGTCAGCAGGCTAAGAAGATTCTGCATCATTCAGTGATATTAGGAAATACTTTTAGCTTTAGTGGTCTAAGGCAGGCATTAATTTAAATAATGTGTGTGGAAAAAAACTGGCTACATTTATCACTGTATTTTTTGCTCAAATTAACATGCAAGCTGTACTAAGTGATTCAACAGAGAACACCCCTTTCTAGGGGATCTTTTTGTTCTGCAGCCCCAGCCACACATTCTACACCTCAAAAAGGGCAATCCTACAACGAAATGATTGCTGGGCAATTTTCTAGTTTCTCCAGCTAACACTCTGAAACAGGAGGGCTGATGTAATTTTCTATGCTAGCACATATAATTGATGGCAATATTCACACTAGAAAATAACAGAAACCTCCTTTTTTGAATTACCTTGAGTGACTCGTACTCCAGCTCGGCACCTCTTATTGGAGGCCTTTCCTCCTCCTACGAAGAATACAGAAAAGCGTGATTTAGTTGAGGCAAGAAAAGGAAAGAAAGCTGAAATTATTTTCCTATAGAATTGGTAAACACTCATTCTGCTACTGCTGAGTGTTTTAGTTTGAATAGTGGCATTTTCTCCTTCCGTTTACTTACGAGTTTACAACACATTATTGGTTAATATAAATAAAATCACACACAAATCACACTACTGCCACAGGTAATAAAACAAAGCGGGATAAACACCAAGAGGCTAAATAAATTCACTGGTGGAAGAGCAATAAGAAAGCATTCCCAAAACTGGTGTCGTACTTTTATAAGTACTTAAGGAGATCAAATCGGAGAAGAGTTTCAAATAAAACCTGCTAAATATGTCTAACCCCAGCACTCTGGCTCTGCATCCTGGTTGAAACACTTGTTATTCTGCCTAAAATGAACAATTACTCACTGTCTCCATCATTTAAATAGATTTCTACATTTCTATTCTTTAATAAAACAGTCTCTTTTTTTTTTATTAGGCAAACTCCCAAGCACCTTTTCTTCCTGCTAATTTCCATCAGAGGATCTGATGGAAGCCTTGGAAAACTAAATAGCCAGGCCCTAGTACAAAGCACTAGGCATAAAACTTGTTATTAAATACAGCAAGTACTACAGGAAGATACGGATTTAATAAAAGCCAGTCAGCATTCACACAGGCACTATTTCACAAGAAGGAATACTCTGGCGTCAGCATTTGATCAGCTAGAAGGAGTCCACCTTAGCTTTAGCACGGAGAGCCTGTTCTTCCTTTCTGTCCAGTTCATCCTGCAGGAATTGCTTTTCTTGCTCCAGCTCGGTAACCCGTTTTTGCAGCTTGAGGAACAGAGACATATCCAACGGTGCCTTCTTCTCACTGGGTTCCTGCTTTAGAAAGAACAGAAGGAAGTCCAGAGGTGTTCCCTTCCCACATCACAAGGAAGCGCTACAGTGAGTAGAGACGGGAAACAGACTGGGCAAAGAGAGGAACACAGAAATGTTATTTGATTCTGAGAGTTGGCTATTAGCATCTAAAATACTTAATCAGCTGTCAAATGTTATTTTAAAAAAGGATCTATTAGTATAAAACTTATCTAAGCCTAAAGTCTAGCAAAAGAAAGCACTAGAGACTACCTAGCAGACAGGAGGTCTATAGTTAAGCATACCTTTTATTCTTACTTGTTTGGAAGGAGAAAGGAGAAAAAAAAAGTCTGTGGTTAGACTCACCTGGAAACAACCGTAAATACAGGCACTTTCTTTTTCTGGTTTTGAATTGTTTCTATAGTAAATTCACCAGCTACAGAGAAATTATTCTGCTGACTGTAGATTTACAGGTTAATTTAGTGGGATGTGACATAAACTGGTACTAGAAGATGTATTTTATGCCTTTTTCATTTTATTATGCTAATTATAAAGCCTGTTCTGAGCCTAATTCACTAGCTTTTTCTGGGCAAGGAAATTTTCTGGGCAAGATTACAGTGTTTGTAATCTGAAGATGCATCAGAAATTGTCCATCAGCCACTTTGTACTTTATGTAGCAAGAAGATCAAAGCATTTACTCTGAAGCGCACCATAAAATTTTGAAGCCTAGAAAAGGAACTATAAAATTAATATTAATGACTGTAGAGGACAAGTAAGCACAGCTATTTCCACTTCATCTCCTTTTACTGTTGAGGGAAAGAGTCATAAACCACACCAACAGCTCAGGAAAAAGAAAACAGACTTCAAGTTTTCTGGCTTTACTGGTTCACATTGAGATGGACCTCATTTTTTAATGTGGTTTTGTATCATTCATCTATATTGTTAGTCAAGTCAAGCTGGAGTTTGAAATCTTAAGGGGTTAAAAAAATACAAATTTAATCTTCTCAGTGCTGTGCTTATTCACATTTTTGTGTGAGTTATTTTTTTTTAGTTTATATTCTAAAAACCAAAACTGGCTCTAGAACAGCAATTCAGGAAGGCTGTCAGCTAAAGGAAAAGATGACATTTGGCTCATATGTGAAATCCAATCACATGTAGTTGCACTGTCTTTTTCCTGCTTATCCATAAAGGCAAGAACATTTTTCTGAAATAACTGTGCAAGGTGAAAAATACAAGTGGGAAGGCCAATTATGGAAGAGTCCACATGGGGTACATGTCAGTATCAATGCATCAGGGTATTTGCACCCACAGGAGAAAATGATTTTCGGTGGAGGCTTTCAAAAACAGTAATGATAGCCTGTAAAAAGCAGCTGTGGAGATCTCTAAGCCAGATGGAAGGCAAAGGGAGCAAGCTGTGCAGTGGCTCACAGCTAAGAAGATCTCTGGAATGTACAGAAGTTGCCAAGCACGGTCAGACCCCCACCCTGAGGGCTCTCTGCTGTGTTAGCAGTGCCATCTCCTTGGGAGGGGCCAAAACGGAGAGTTACCTTGGAAAACACTAAGAATGGCTTGGAGTTGCATCACAAATTATTCATGATTATTATTCATTAGCTGAATCGAGAGAGTCATCTTTCTGAACATTTTTTAATTCCTTGTGATTTGTATCACTGCATGTGCAAAGGGATAGTACATTCTCAGAGTTTTATTTGTCTCTATGAAATAAAGGAAAAATGAATCAAAGTGAGGTTCTCATCCCTGGCAGAGAACTCATCCATGTAGCCCTAGGACCATGGCTAGCTACCTTGTTGCTTGGAATCCCTGAATATACAGTACAGAGATTTCTCAGGGAGTCTCACTGGTTTTCTTAATTCCCACTTGATGCTGAAAAAGTGATTGTGTTTGCAGAGATTGGCAAGCAAATTTTTTTGCAGATACAAATCAACTGGATGGCCAAGTATCTAGCCTATGTTTACTGTAACACAGAAGAATTCAAAGCATACTTTCACAAAGTCTTTTTACATAGGACCACAGCTAACTAGAGAAGAATGAGCTGTTTTCAAAGGGAAATGGAAGAAGTTGGATAAAAGCCCTAGATATCTCACTATAAGGATATGGTGTTCACAAGCATATAGGAAAGAAAAGAGAGAAATCAGTTCAACCACCGATCAATGAAAAGATGTGTGAATTTTTTAACATTACCTCCATTCTCAATGGTAAATCTTCCGCTTCTGTGATCTCAGAGCTAAAGGTATATTCAGATTCATTGCTACTGTGAGTCGAATCTGTTCTTTTGTGTCCAGGCTTGGGGATGTTCTGGAGTGCAAATGAAACAAATCAATACCAGTGTATGCTTTTCCTTGTCTCTTCACAACCTATAATTTAGCTTGTAATATTTGGTGTTATTTCACAGTTATCAAAATTTGTAAGAGAAGATTTTGGATTCTGGTCTCTCATGCTACCTAAAGGCTACGAGACATAGCTCACAATCAAATCTATGGAGAAAGATCAGATTTACAACACCAAGTATTGCTGCAGAAAGCAAAATCGAACACAACACAGCATTTTGTGGGGAAAAAAAAAAAGCTTGGTTTACAGGAAGCACAGGCAGCAAGTCTCTAACTTCCCAGACATTGTATTGACTTCCCTAACATTGTATTGAGGAATATTTTTTCCTCCTGCCACATAAAATATTCCTGTAAGTACTTAAAATTTAACACTGGATGAATGTGGTACAAACAACCCTAGCACATGTGAATAACTTCAGGGAAATACAAGGGTGGGAGGCACGTGCAATACCACTAGCAAAGTTATAACAGAAATCTAGTCTTCTCCACAAAAATGAAAAAAAAAAAAAAAAAATCCCACAAACTCTGCCCCATTTAAATTTGAAATGCATTTGTTTTGCCTGAACTAATTTAATTAATCAATATTTAAGAGGACAAATTCTCTTCTTGGGTACAAGTCACCACCACAGAGCTGACAGAAGAATCAGTTACTAACACCACATTTCTGCTCAAACACATTTGTGAACAGCTTTTGATTTCTCAGGTGTTCAGCAACTTACCACCATTAAGTTCATTTCATCCTTGAGATCATCATACCGCTCCTCTAAACGGCTGAACTCATTCAGCAGGTTCTGGTACCGTAGCCGTTCATCGTTCAGATCTAGCTCTAGCTGTTTCGTTTCCTCCATCAGCTTCTTCTCCATCGTCTCTGCCACAGACAACAGGAATCCAAAGTGAGAACTCCACTTCCACCTACCAGGCAGTGCATCCATCCTGGAGGTACAGGCATGTGTCTGCACCGGGACACGGATGGTGAAACGGCTGCTCGAAGCCAGTGTGTGGTATTTGTGCCTCTGTAGGCAAACATTAAGCCAAATACATGAAGGACCAAAGCATTTTTGTAGTAACCACAGAAGGGTTCACTTGGTCAAGTTAGTTATTCTGCTAATACCTTGCATTAGTAATTCCAGGAGGAAGGAGCATTAGTCCAGTGCTGCATTTTGTAAAAAGCAAAATGTGAGATGTTCTACACCTCAAGCACACGGACCTTCCTCACCACAGCTGCCTCTAGAGTTAAGCTTTTCTGGCTGCTGTCTACATAGTCACAGCAGCCAGCAGAGCTGCAGCAGATTAATTGTATTAAATACTGGATCCTGATTTTTAAAAGTGAAACACTTTCTAACAGTCATCTCAACAAAAAGACCTTGAGTCCTTAGGATTTCATGGAAACACAAACAGTAAATAATTCTCATGCTTGCAAGTTCTTAAAACAAAGAAAAGATTAAACTTAGAAGGAATGCAAATTAAGACAAATTAGCCCAATCTATGCAGTAGAGTGCTGCTTTATGAGTTAACATAAAGTAGAAAACTTGAGTGAAGAGAACAGAGTCAACCTGTTATTTCCTTCGCTTGGTCATGGATGCGGCTGTTCAGCTCGTCCTTCTCTGTTTTCAGTAATGTGTTCTGCTCTTTCAGCTCTGATACCAGCTACAGAGATAATAAAATATTTGAGTTGGAATGTAGTTCATCTCTCAGCAGTAGCTCTAACAGCAACTACATCCTTGCTGTGTAAGAGTTCAAATACTTAAAAATTTCTTCAGAGAATGAAATCAGTGGATTAAGTAATGACATCTTAATTTCCCAAATTAATTTCTTAAATTGTCCCACTGCAGATTCCCCTCTATGTTCTGCACTCTATTTCTGATCAGGCACCAAAACTGCCTTGAACCACTCCCCCATGCCATAATATTTTTCAGTAACATCCCAAAGATGTAATTTATTCCTCCAAATAGAAATATTCCTAAAATAGGAACCAATTTGGTAGGTCTGTTGCATCGCGTAACCCCACAATCTAACTAATCTTGCTTCTGCCCAAAGGTTGTGCCATTTTAACTGTACCCAGGTTTGCTAGTTACTCATTTGTCTCTGAGAACGGTTACTACACGGTCACTTTGCTTAGCTGCAGCACCACAGAACAATGGAATCACTGCAGCACCACAGAAGGAGGGAATACTGGAATTCCAGTATTGGAAGCCTGCCCTGTTGTCAGGAAGTAACCTTGACAGGAAACAACCTGTTTTGATATGTTCATAGCTAAAGCAAAGCGAAGGGATTAATCAAAACCTGTTGAACTAGACTGTGCACACATACATGTGCTTAATAGGCTAATTGTTTAAATTACGAAAGATATAAATAGGTACTTTTGAATACTGTGTAGGGGACAGATTTCTGGTATCTATGTGATTACACTCTCTAGCTAGGTAAAATGATTTCTTTTGATGAATGGGCTATTTCTGACTACTTGAGGAAGCTTAAGTATTTGGATTTGCAAGTACTTTCAATATCAAAATCTTAATAGATTGAATTTATATATTTACATACAATATATAGATTTAATGTATTCTTCTACCATAGGTGTCGTTATTTAAGTAGTAAGCCTATTTAGGCTTTAAAAAGTACCGTAAAAATATCAGCCACACAACTGAAGCAATCGAGAAAATCTTCTCATGCATCTGAGAGCGGGTACTTGCCTGCTCAGTCTCGTGTTTGTATTTATCTGCCCATTCCTCAATGGTCTTCTTCTCAGACTGAGTTTGGTGCAGCTCCTTCTGGAGTTTGGCAATCTCATCCTGAAGGCTGAGGACACGGTTGGTCGCGTTCTTGGCCTCCTCCTCACTCATCCGAAGCCTCTCCACATCACTCCGCAGCTTCTCTGTCTCTGTACTGTACGTGATCTCCAGGTTGCTCATCTTCTCCAGCAGAGATTTGTACTCTTTGTTCTTCGCAAAACACAACACAGACACAGCAGCTGTTGGAGACGTTCTGGTTTAAGGGAGCCTTATAGCTCCCTACAGAATATACCCAGACATGGGAGCAAGAGAGTAGCCTCTCCATGTCAAAGAAGTTTTAGTCTGTTTTTGCAAAATTGTTTTATGAGGTGACAAAACACTCTAGTCTCTAAGACGGCACACTAGCATCCCAAACTAAAATCAGGCAGGAAGCCCGCGTACATGAAGCATGAACACCTCACCTTCCCCTCAAACTGAGCAACTCACATGGTTCAGATCCAATACTGCCAAAAGGCAGCAAATGTGTTCTCTCGGTGCTGCTTAGAGACACAAAAATTCCGTACCATTCCAGTTCTACTGCGGCCTCCCTTTCTCTTCTATGATGTTTCATAAAATCCTAGACTGGCCTAGGCTGGAAGGGACCTTAGAGATCATAGAATCATAGAATCCTAGACTGGCCTAGGCTGGAAGGGACCTTAGAGATCATCTAGTCCAACCTCCCTGTCACGGGCAGGGACGTCACCTCTCGACTAGACCAGGCAACACATGGGGATCGAGCGGGAATCGAACCCGCGACCTCGGTGTTAGTCCTTGTCAGCACTGTTCTTCAGCAGAAGAGAGAACTAACACCTTACAATGAAAATTCAGTGCCTTCCTCTGTGAATGCACACAATGCATTTGTATTAAAAGGTAATACAAGATCTCTAAACATTTTCCTGAGGTCAGAGAGCTTTTACCTGCTCGTCAATTTTTCGCTGCAGCTGCATGATCTTGTTCTCTAAGCCAATGTGAAGCTTCTTGTAGCGTTCTACAGACCGGGCCTCTATCTTCAGCTTCTTTAGCTCCCTCTTGGCCATCATACGCCGGTAACAGCATTGCAAGTAAACAATTGCCTTCAGGGTCCTACGGTAATGCACTCGAGCCAGCCAACCTCTGACGTGTTTCTGAATAACAATAGACTTGTGCTCCCGAAGCATCTATAGTTAAGAAAAAACACCACGAGAGGTATTAGAGTTGCAAACTACACCTGCTCAGTTAAACAAACTCCATAATGAGAGGTGTAAAGGTGATGTACATAGAACCTTAGCCTGAAAAAAGAAACTTTTGGTGAAGAGTAACAGGAAACGAATATGGAATTAAGTTAAAAAAAAAACAGAAGAGGAAAACAAGACAGAAATAAGGAAGATGACAGGGAATGAAATGAAAAGGAACTGGAAGGGAAAAACCAGAGGCACACTGAGGAATCAGGCATTCCTTTGTGTTGATGTCACATCCACAGTAATTAAAAAACCGTATGGTACCTGTTGACAAGATTACTCATACAATCCTTTTTTTTACTGCATCTTTTATCTTGAAACATCTTAGAATAACTGACACATGCTGCACAAGATTCATCAATGCAAAGCTTAGAACTACCACACTTGATTTGCAATGCAGTTAGTACACACCGGAACCCAGAGTAAATTGCAGCAGCTGTTACAAAGAGCAGTCAGTCAAGGTGACCAAACTATTAGTTCCAATCAGTTTTCCCTTTATTTTTTTCTTTCGTTTGCCTTTTTTGATATACCTTAGACTTGGCAGCATGAAAAAATCTCCATTTATTTTAATCAGAAATTTTATATTGTAATAATTCCAATTTATTTCACGACAGAAATTTCAACCACAGCTTTGAGGTGTAAAATAAAATAAAAAATAATATTTTTTTTAGAATCCTTTTTAAAAAAAACAGTCAGGAATCTTAGTAACCTTCTTCAATGTATCAGCCAGAGACTTCCTCTAGGAAGAGTCTCTTACTTGTTTTTGGATCCTTTACCCGTTTACTCAATAAGAGATCCTCCAAGTCTGGAGCACCTGAATTCCAGCACACCACAGCTCGGCTCAGAAAGCCTGGCCAAACTCAGAAGGCTTCCAGGTCACTTGAGAACTTCAGAGTGCACTTAATAAAGCTTCTGCAGATTAAACAGTTTATTCTAAGAAACAATACTATTTAAGATTCTGTGTTACTTCTTAGATTTGATAGTTTAAAGATCATATGCAGGTCTTACCCTGATTTACCACAAAGCTGGTAAGACAAACTAGTAGGATAACAACGACTTTATTTTGTTTTATACCTAATAAATGACCTGAAATGTGTTGGAAGCTTTACATTTCCTGATCAATGAATTTAAAAGGTTCACTGGCGAAGTGGCAAGATTATAAGATACGCAAACTTTCTCCCTTAGCATTTATTTCTGAAGACAAAAATGAGACTTGAAATACCAGCACTCGGTTCAATAACCCACCAAGGTAAGGAAACAGCACTCTCAGAAGCACAGCAAGGTCAAATGCCAGAGTCTCGACTGCATGTCACGCAGTCAGCATTCCTGCCTCCCTCTTTCACACTTGCTGGAACAGTCCTCCAGGTTGCCCGCAGGTGCCTGATCAGCTCGAATACAACTAGCTTTCAACATTTTCATCTCAAGTTTGAAACCATCAAGTCCCATAAAATACCTCCATCGTGCGGGATGGTCCTCATCTGCCACTGAGCTCTCACATCCATGCACTCCAGTGAGGATACAGGTTACTCCAACATAAGGCAAGAGGATCAGAGAAGTTACTTAATTTATCAGGTATTTCCCAGGAAAGCTTATGTAAAAGCTATGGAGGAACAAAACTCCTTGTTAAGCCGAGAAGCACATCACAATGTCTCCAGCAGAAGCTTTCCCCAGGATGTGTGAAACAGATGATTCAACCATTTTAAATTCCTCCTTTGGCCACGTGACTGCAACACATGCCCTCTCTTCCAACAACAACAGGCACCTTTCACAATCCTAACGAACAGCACGTGTACCAAGTATTGCTTAGAGTCATGGCTCAGCCCAGGTGTGCTGTCACAGGGCAACCGCTCGGTTTCACTCATTTGCAATCACCATAAAGTTCAGAACAACGATGTTTACTCTCCTGTGGCACGCAGAGCCTCGGCTTCTCTCTCCAGCCACCCCTGTACACCAGCTTAAATAGAATTCCAGCTTAGGAGGAGAACAGACAGGCAGCACACTGCAGTGGCACTTGGCAGGACTTTGCGTGTTACTGCCGTGAGCGATTCACCACTCGAGGGGATACTCCCTGACAGGCAAGTCCGACCATGCTTTACGGGGATCCCTCCAGAAATCTGCCATCTCTATTAAAGGGGAATATAACAGGTTTATAAAACTCTGTGCAACTAGCCAGATGTGGTGTGTTATCACTCACGTGACTAATTTCAGACATACAGCATCATCTCCCGCTTTCCTAAGGGTGGCCTTTAGTCCACGTATTTCTGTGACCCCAGCCTCACTTTGTCACATCTGGCAGATATCACTGTTTAAAACAGATCTTACATAACCTCACAACATAACATATGGCTTGTAACAAGGAAAATGCTACGAATTCCAGTAAAAAGGCAAGCAGGTACCTGCACAAAAGAACAGCCAAGTCAAGCACAGAGATCTTACTACTTAGAAACTCTGATCACGGATTACTTGGTTTCAAACTTTCTGGTTAGTATGTTAGAACGCTATAATTTAGACACATTCACATGTGACCATGTAGGCAACTTTAATACAAATGAAAAATATACATAATCTATTCAAAAACACAAAAGAGAAACGCAAGGAACATAAGCATTAGTTGGCTTTTGGTTGTATGTCTTCAACATCTACCTGCTTGGGAAAAAGACAGAACTCTTTTGGCTAACATTTCTGTGAAATATAGGCTGACTTTTGAGCCTAGTTAAAATAATATACGTAGACAAAAGTGCCAGGAAAAATGCTGGCATTTTGTAGACTAACCATTTGAATCATAATTCTGTTTCCTGCTCTGTAACTACTGAAGAGCAAATTCTAATTTCTCAATCGAATTTTTATTTAAGTGTAATCGGGAAAATATTATCAATATCACTAGGACAGTGTTATATCAATTTCTCTCCAAAATAAAAAAGCTAGCATCAACACACTAAAAAATAAGCAACAAAAAACAACCCATACTTAAACTTTAATTTCCTATTTTGATGGCTATCTCTTTGCTAACATTCATCTCCTTCAGTATTTCACAATCACTAAAATTAGGGATGTAATAGGAAAGTAGCACGTTAAATACGTATATTGATGTGAGAAATACTGATTTAGGCTTATGGAGATACGTTCACACAAGGCCATTTTCAGTATTTAAGTTCCTTGCAATTCTATATAACAAATGAAAAAGTGAGAAATGCTGCAAATCCCTCCCAGATTCTCCACTGACTGCTCTGGAGGTACCTGAAAGCACTGACTGCTCTGAACATGGACCTGGAGGTACACGTGGATCTCTCTAAAAAGATGAGTTCATTGACCGTTGCAGCAGATCTTTGTAATTTCCAGGTGCTGCCCTTCAATCCATGCTGTGATGCTCTGTGCATTATGCCCAAGAGCACGCACACAAACACTTCAGATTCCCACGGCGATACCACAGAGCAGCTGCGTCCTGGAGGTATGTGGCAATAAAGCTAGAGTGAAGACATAAAATATCACAATTTCTTACCATTTGGTACTTGTTCCGGGCCATGTAGCCTCTTAAGAGAGCCTGAAGAGCAATGGTGGCAGCTCGCATGCACTGGTACTTTTTCCGGACCACGTACATGCGCTGGAACTTCTGAATAGTGATGGCAGCCCGGGTTCTCCGCAGGAACTTAGCATAGCTAAGCAAGACAAAGATCACAATTATACCTGTATTATTTTCCAGTACCTGAATACTACTTTGTTAACATTCTGTAACTTTACCCTCTTTCTCAAGAGCTATGTTTTCTCCTTCAGCTTCTTCCCAATGTTGTCACTGATACAGCGTGTTTATTTGCTCTTTTGTGGCAGTACAACAGAATGACAAATTAACAGAAAACTTGCAAGATTTTACAGGGAATCATTTTCACTTTCTCTGAGAACTGTGCTACAGAACCAACAAGATAAATTCAGCTTAATTTCTCATGGCCTTTTCTGCAGCTTTAAAGCTATTTCCACTAGGCTGCCTCCCAGATCTCCTCTCCTAACCTCAACCTGTAGAAAATGTTTGCTCATTCTCGGCCCTTTCCACAAGACAATTACAAAGCATCTTAACGTAAGACCATGTTCCGAAGGCTGATTCTTACAGTTCTCATAACCACGTTGTCTTTGAACGATGCGACCTGTATTCCTCCTCTGCTCTCTGGCCCCTCCATGGCTATCCATAAGAAGTCAATCCAAAGAAATGACTCTGATGTACCTCCCTGCACCCAGGGTGAGGAATGGCTTCTCCAGCAGGACAGACAGACCCAGCTGGGAGGGCACATGGAAACTGGGAAACAAGGACTCAGCCACGAGTCACCCGCAACACATCTCCTACTGCTACTTGTCCTCTGCTCCCACTAACAACATGTTTTTCTAAGCACCACACAGCCAGGGCACTACTGTGTCCTCTCAGGAAGGACAAAACCAGGCAGGACAGACACTCAGTATATTCCATTTCCTTCATTTCTAAGGAAAACCTTTTCCTCTCAGCCAGTGCAGGAAGGAGAGAACAAACGTATCACAGTTGGATGTCCTACTTATAGGGATCTGAACTGAGGCTAGTGTGGGTTTTCCCACGAGCATTGCTTACCATCGTGCTTGGTACCCTCTGACATGTCTCTGAATGGTGATGGCAGCCTTCCTCATGCGCACGTACTTCTTTCGCATCAGCCAGCCTCGGATTGTCTTTTGGATGCGGATACAGGCAGCTCTCAACTTATCTGCCCTTATTTTTTCCAGATAGGCTACTTGACCAGCCCGGAAAAATATTTTTGTCTTACCAAATTGGTACTTATCCTTGTCCTATTTTTAGAGGTAAAAAGAAGATCAGTTACAGCATTAAATGTTAGTGGATGAAAAAAAAAAAAAGACATGAGGGGCTAAATGGAAGTACAGGCAAAATTATCTGTGTAATACTCCAAGTAAACCTAGACTTAAACTAAGTAGCAGAGGAAACTATTTCTCTCTGTATGATTCTGTTAACAAATTTACACAGAAAGGCTACAAGCATGGCCTAAAGGAGTAACTAGGATTTTTGCTGAGAATGCCACAAAGATTATAGAAGACATGAAGGCTACAGGAGATGACGAAGGGGACCAGAGGACAAAAGCAATATATGCAATGCATGTGTACAATTTCTGGCTTAAATAAACAGTCCACCTTCAACCGTATTACACAGTACAAACCAAACAGCTGGGGCTTCAAACAGGTGTACATCCCTCACTGCATCAGGACTAACCTACAGCAAAGCATCTCCCTGCTGCTCAAACACATCTGAAACTTCAGAACTGCACCAGAAAGAGTAATATTCTATCTCTATAGCCTGTAGTACTCCTTGGGGGGAAAACTGAGAATATACAAAGGTACATTGAAAAAAATTATTTTTGTTGATTATTTGATGTTAAGTTAAAAGAAATAGCAGTGAAAGAGCAATAGCTTAGGACACAATAACACCGTAAATGCAGACACAAGGATATAAATCAAAAGATTTTACTCAAGTCTACTCAATGACACCAAATTTTTAAAAGCTGAGTCCCAATCTGCCTGCATAATATTTTTTTTTTTGTTTCCATAACATCCTAACATCTGCATTGCACTTTAGCAAGGCAAACCTTCTTGTTTTTATATTTTCAGTAACCTTTGTCTCTTTCTCTTCCTAACTGACACTTCTGAGTTTATCTCAGCTAACCACTCTCTCCTGGAATTGTGTCTTTGGAGCCTGCCTGCCCTCCACTGTTGATGGGTCCTTAAAAAACCCCAGGAAACACGAGTTCACGCGCAACACCAGCAGCACAGAGGGCACAGCCTGGGAACGCCGAGGTACGAGGACAGCCACGCTGCCAAGCAGTGAGACAACATCACGAGCAAAAGAGGAGTGAAAAAGGTTGACTCCAGCACGCGAGCTGAGAGGGGCAGCGTGAAAGACACAAGCGCATACCCAGACAGAAATACCTCCACATTAGAAAACCTCTATTTTTGTGGTCAACACTTCTTGCTGTTAAACAAGGTAAGGCTCATCCTCAACCTACCCACACTTAAAATCGCTGTGTTCCTTTCCTGCGATACACGGGGAAATTCTACAGTTCCTGTGCTAATATTGGTGCATTAGTACTTTGCAGAAGTACTAAAACAGAGTGGCTGTGAGGGAGTAAGGGACGCTATCTTTACTCCTTCAGATCCCAAATGTTCTCAGCACTAAGTCTAGTACCAGAATCAGCTTCTCCAGCACATTTTTACACGTCTGCTTTCGGTCACTAAGGACATCTCTCTGCTTCATCAGAACACGGTAACGGCTGAAGAACTCTTGGTATGTCCACCTGTCCCAAAAACAGAGACCATGTCAGAGAAAAATTCTCTTAAAAAGAAGAATTGAAGCTGAAAGCAACCTAAAAAAAAGGCAAACAAACCTGGAGGGGAAGCCAGCTGCACTGATTCGGATGGTCTCCAGGACACCACAAGCTCTCAGCTGCTGCACTGCCCGCTTTTCATCGAACCTACACAGGAATAAAAAGAGCTAGTTTTGCCTTACACAGACCCTCTGGCCCAGTGCACGCCCCAGACAGGAGCTGCACAGTGGGGAGCAGGGATGGGATGTGATGGGTGGGTAATGAGTCCAGCTCATGCTTCTGCAACTCAGCGACACCAGAGGACAGCCTGGCGGGGTAACTGCCCAGCCCATCGGCTGCTGCACGTTGTTCGTCCTGCCCTGCCTCCCGCTGGCCTGCCTAATAGCCACCGGCCTCCTTCTGTGCCCAGAATCTATGCAGACTTTTGAGGACAGCTCTACACAAGTTCACATATGAGAAAAATACACGGAATAAGACATTGGAACCTGCAGAAGCAAATTTCAGCAAATGTGAGATAAATTCAAGGACTGCAAGTTGCCGGTCACAGTTAAAACAGCTAGCCATGAAAACGCTGGTATTTTCTCTCACATATCAGCATAAACGAGCCAGAGAAAACATCGGGAAGTCTTTCTCCCTCTATTCACCCCAGAACATCTCCTGCTGCAAGCCCCCCCCCCCACATGCATGAGTCCTTAACGAGAGCAAGGAGACACAGCGCTCCCCTCCTGAGGAGGGAGGTTTGGCAGAACCTTGGGCTATTCCCCACCATGCGCAGGCTGGGCGAACCACACGCGAACCAGCTTACGTGAAAGGGAACTTGAAGTCATTAGGCTTAATACAGCGCACGTAGTGTGGAGTTGTAGCGTTCAGGGTTTCCATCAGCAGATGAAGAGAGTTTCGGAACTTTTTGAAAAAAGAAAAAGGAGAAAATATCAGGGAACAGCCTCAACAAGCTCAATCATGTTTGAGATAACCTCAGGAAGCAGACCTAGGGATAGCTGCACATTTGTAAGAATGCTTTCGGTAATAAACACCAGCTTGTTTTTGTTATGGCAAAGGATTTTAGATTCAGATACCATCTCTAGGAGAATTATATTACCGTGAGACTTCTAAATGTTAGACTTTGCAGAAGTAAAGCTCCCATATCAGCAAGTGATAAATTACAAAAACATGGGATAGACTGAGTCATTTTCAGCTTCTGACTGTCTCACCTATCCTAATCTTTGTCTAATCCATCTCTTCTTGACTAAACTTCATGGCATACTACTAAAGAGCCATTTAATTTTAAATAAATTTAAAATTGAATTTGAAATCAACAAAGTAGTAAACAGAAAAAAGCGCATCATCTTCAAGAACTGGCAGGGGACCCTGAGGTAAAGAATTTATGCTCCCTGAGAGCTAATTTATATTCCAGGCTGTCCTAAGGTAACATAAAAAGAGTTATCCACACAGGCCTGGAAGCTCCAGGCAAAAGCATGCCACTGCTCGCCAGCAAAGTGGTACAGCCTGGCAAGTAGACAAAATCTGAGTACTAAAGTGTCAAAGAAGGTTCCCTTGGCTCCCACGTAGAGTCCGAGGGGCAATCTCTCGTAAGTAAAGCACTGGCTGGGGACATATCCAACTTGAGAAAATACCTGTTACATCTGTTGAGCACAAAGTAACACAGGAGTTATCTCTCCGGCCGTACTGAGCTGCATACTTTTAATTTAATTCTGGACATTTTATGTTTAGCCCACTGATAACTGGGAGACTGAACTCCCACTTAGGATTAGAGACAGGCAATGGGGAACATGATCAAAAAGATCCACTATAAGATTTCCAAAGCTTCTCAGGATCCAGCATGTTAAACCTGAGTTTTGGTTCTGGCACTACAATAAGAACTGAGCCCCCTGAGACTGTGGCCCAAATTGTGTTAGTAATTAGGGTATATTTACTCCAAATTGTACGACATAATCAGTTGCACCTGTCTGAAAACCACAAGGGATCCCAAGAAGCACCAGCATACCTTCAGACCTATGAGACAGAGGGAGGCAGAGATTATTTAACAGAGCTGCATCTTCAGACTCACCTGATGTCCCACAGTTTTCTTATGCTCCTTGCTGGTTTGACCTGGCCTGGCCTTGGCTGGTTTTACAGCCATGCGAGACAAAGGCACACGCCCCGAAGGGGTTGCTGACGTGGGACTGAGGACCTTCTCCTCATCCTGGAATAGCTCTGGTAGCAGCTTAAACTGGTATGACAGCAGAGAAAAATACAGAAGGTAAGAATCCAGCGATTGCATCTGTTTGTGCTTAAGGTAGTTAGAACCCAGGCTCAGTTTCATAAGCGCCAGGTTTTTGTTGAACTCCACATGGGGACAAATGCAAAAAAGCATTCAAGCTAGTAATAGAGTGAGTGGGCCATCATTTAATACTAAGAATTTCGTGGGTTTGATCAGTGAGTCTCCTTCTAAAGATAAAATTCTGATTTGAGGTTTTTTTCCTTCAAGCCAGCAATAGCTTCCCTGTGAAACTCTTAAATACTGGCAGCAATTTCGTAAGTACCAATCGCAATTGTATATGGCTCCTTTGATCTAAGAAGGAAACAACAGGGTCTTCTCATATTCCAGTGGCACATCAGACTCCTTTGTGGTAGAGAAATATCTAGGACACTGAATAACCCAGCAGGCAACGAAGAATATTCCTGCTTTATCTCTCTAAATCGAAATAATCAACTTAAAAGAGGAACCATCAACTAAACGAAAGCCATTAGCCAAATTTATCTCACTAAAGATCTACTTTCTGGCCAGTGGAAGTGGAGGAAAAACCTGAAATATCTTTCCAAATATCACACAGAGCTTCTGGTTCCCTTTCTCCAATGGCCACAGAATACACTCCTATATAATAGCTGCTCTGAATTAATTTGTAACTGAAAATAACACCATCAGGTCTTCCTACTGACAACTATCACACTTCAGAAGCATTACAATAGTAAGAAAAATCTGAACTTCTCTACCTGTCAATGAATAATCTTTTATCTAGCATCTGTGCATTTTCTCCCAAGAGCTAGGAGCTTTCAATTCTCAGTACTAGAAAGTGCTTGGGCTAAGTACAACCTAAAAAATAAAGAAATCGGTTTTGCCTTATAAAACTTGGTGAGCATGCACGATAACCAATGAAACATGCTGCACAACAAAACGGTACTTGTGCTCTATGGTTGTGCCAGATGGGCTAGCAGAAGGCATTAAACGTTCCTCAGGAGCATCCAGCACAGCACTCCAGCATAATAAAATGACTAGGAATGCCACACAGTATCCTAAACTCTCAAGTAAAAACGGGGTATCACAGCTCAGCTTTAGCTCACCTGAGTCCGCCGGCTTAGGAGCCCCATGACCTTAGGTCACCTCTGAGGCTGGTGGAAGAAGGACATTTCCAGAGGGCGATTTAGCCCAGCTCCTTCCACTGACTCAGCAGGGAGTGACTGGGCCACCACCACCTCATCCAGGTGCCTGCGGTCAGGTGAAATCAGTACACGCACAGGCACCTGAGCTACAGAGCCAAGCCTTCTCCTCCCTTTTCATCCACACGGAAACTTATTTGAATGCAATAAGCTCTGTCTGTGACTCCAGATGCTCTCACACACCAGGGGTGGAGGTGGGGAGGAGATGCCCAGTCTCCGGATTGCAGAGGGACAAGCTCTCCCAAGCTATCAGTACCGGTCTCACTCCTTTTTCCCAACCGTGGGAAAATCTGCCTGTAAAAATCAGCAAGTGCATTTCAAAGGCACCATTTTCACAGGCCCTGCCCCAGTTACTATGTGCAGAAGAAAGGAGCAACGCGTGGCCTCCTGCAGCAGAGGCCAACGTCAGGAGAGCGTCGCTGCGATGATCCGCTCTGGGGGGAATTCCTGTTTTCCTTTGGATTTGGGTTTTAGCATCATATCAATTTTCTTTGTTTTGCAGAACACTAGGAGTGTTCAAAGAGAGGGAAAACACTGATCAAAGGGCAGATAATTCACGTGGTAAAAAACAAACAAGCAAGCATTTTTTCCCTGTAATTTCGTCAGATGAGTTAACAGACATGCTGCTGACAACCTTACAGATCATTTCTTTCAATACAGAGCCACAACACAAGATTTTAACACGTGCCAGCAGCAAGCATGAAAGCTGAGGACTGTTGCACTGTTGTCATGGTACATGCATGGAAACTGAACGAGTTCAAAGAGGTCCTGTGAGTGGATTTATAGAGAAGGCTAAAATAAATAACTAAACACTACAATGCCTGCCAAGAGCAGTGTGTGTCATGCACTTTGGAGAGCAAAAAAGCATCTGAGCTGTATGTGAGAGTGGGCATGGGCAGGATGACAGATGATACATTCGACTTAGAATTACCTTCTGTTGAATGTGCATGGCAAACCCCGAAAACAGTGACAACGAAAAAATTAAAAGTCAGAAAGGCAACCGCACTACAATTACTAATAAAGAAGGCCTGCTGAAAATAAAAATGAAACATTCTCCTTTTGAAAATCTAATTTCTTCACAGTTGCGTTTTTATATTTTCAACATTGGTTTTAGGAAAATTCACCACCGGGGAAAACCGAGTTGTTTCTTAGTGTTTAGACTGAATTGACTTAATCCAACGAGCCTGCCCGAGCTGCTGTCAGGCTCTTACGGCATCTGTGTCCCCATCATCCCTCAGTGACCGGACTATGTCCCTCGGGACACCCCTGCACCTCCACCCTGCTCAGGGCACTGCTGTGCTGTGGTAGAGCCGCGGCCGGGCTTCGCGTCTGTCCCCGCCCGCCCCCCGGAGGGGCCCCCCGCCTCCCCCACCCCGCCCAGCAGCTGACTTCATTCAAACCGCTTCAACACTTCTCTGGGTGGAAAGTCCGCTGTGGTTTTTCATTATAGTACATGCTTTAATCATTTAGCTTCATAGATCTGCTCAGAATAGAAACAGGTCTTCCTGCTAGAATAGCATGTTTTTAAATAGCCTGTCCTTGATACCCAGCTTCCTGGGCCATCAGAGCCAGCAAATTCCCAACAGCCATCACAGCCCAATGTCAAGTTAATTGCCTTTACATTGCAGAAGAGCAAAACTAACAGTTTTGCCATTAAAAAAACCCCAGATTATACCACCGAAGGACTGTTCTGTTAATATCCCTTCACGGAGTAGTTTTCAATTCAGATGTTTTCCTTATAGATGCCAGGAAGGCAAGACTCTAAATTCTGATTTGTGTCCTTAAGAGTCTAAACATTTCATTCCTCTCCCATTTTGCTTCTGAAACAGAATTTGTCTCTCTTCCAGAAATTTTCTGCTCAACTGTCAGGCCATAAACGAGGAGCTTCTGTTTTCAGATTACAAAATTAAGGGCTTAACTGTTAAGCCTTTTTATACTAGTATGGTATATTAGAAGTCTTCGATGCCTCTACAGAAAATATAGCAAAGTTTGGTGAAAAATAAACAAACAAAAGCCTCAAACAAAGAGTGAAAATAGTGGCTAAATATAGACTGATTTTAAATGGGGCAACATTAGGCTACAGGACTTTCTGAATTCATACAGATAGCCATGTAAAACACAAATCAGTTGACCTGATACTAAGGGAGAAACATTCCCTTGGCTTATTGTAAGTTTTAGATCCGAAGATTCACAACCACAAAAGAAAAAAAAGATCCTTATACTAACCTTACTTGATTTTAGGACCTTAATTTGTTCTTCATAAACTGTGTCTTTGTTCTTTTCCAAAAAGCCTTCACATTGATACTCCACCTGAAAGAACACCATTTTACAAAAAAGTAAGTATTAAAAGTATTTGCATAGAATTCACCAGCTGTAACACTCACATTTAAAACAGATAATTCTTGTGGATGTTGAAAATATCAGCTCCCAAGTGTATTTTTGTTATATATTTTCCCCAAGGAGGGTGCTTTCCAGTAAAATGTAAAACATATAGAAATGAATACTATTACTGCATTATACCAGGTATACTTCACTGCTGAGAGATGCTTATGGTAAGACAGCATGACTGAATATTTACAGTAAAGGTGAAGAATCAAAATCTGTGTTGAGCATCTCTTTCACTGAAGTTATCAGGGCTGCAAAATCATGTGAAATCCAGATGCAACTGAGAACAAAGTACCTCATTAGCTGAGAGGCAATAAGCAGATCTGCCTGCAGTTTATTACAAAAACGCCTCATTTGTACTCAGACTATTTTTACCAGAAGTGAGAAAAATTCTGCATGTTGTGACAATATGTAACAACCCACAGGGCCACGGAATTTCCTGGACCAAAGAACAACCGGAGTGTCAGATAAAAAACTATTCATTTCACTGTCCCAAGTCAAAGCTGAATAAACCCCCAAAACAATCAACACAAGTCTGCACCTCAGAATTCCGGTATTAACTAACGTAAGTATGCTAATTCTCATGAAGTGCCTCACACTAACTCTTCAATCTTGTATCAGCAGAGGAGCAGACTACAGAATATAAGCGCAGACTGTCAGAGAAATTCTGGTCTTTCAGCGCAGACAGACTGACAGCCATCAGCAGTCTTCCAGTATGACCATTTATATTGGCGCTTACACAACAGCGCTACACCCTGAGCTGCAAAACATTTCAACCAATTCCAAGGGAGAAGGAGGCAGAGGATCTCCCCAGGGTCTCTCCACAGCTGGAAGCCCACTCTGAGCATCACCTCGGGTACCACTAATGTTCCTACTGCGGGAGACAATGCCAGGAGAGGGCAGCAAAATCTCTGCCTTCTCCCAGAGAAGACAACGACAAGGCAGAGAGGTTACGAACCTCTTCCTTTTTTTCCTTCACGATGTCTGTACGCATTCATGTAAGCACACGGGAAAGCATAAAATGCTTAGGATAGCCAGTGCACCAGAGCTCAGAGCTCTGCCAACACATGCTTGGAGCTAATTTTAGCTTTCCCTGTCCCTTACTGCTTACATGAGGTATAGGAAAGCCTTGTTTTAAAAAATCAAAGTTGAGCTTAATGAACAGTGTATGAAATAAATACTAATTAAAGCCATCTTGTTCTCTCATCCACCAAATAAAACAGAACTCATGAAATCTAAACAGTTACAGAGATGCTCTTGCTGCTTTCACTAGGGTAACGCCAGACACGACTGGAACAGGACTCCTACACATGAATTCCAGAACCTGGGAGAAACCAAGAGGAGGCAAATAAAAGTCCCCAAACCCCCGTGTTAGCACGTACAGACCTACTGATCAGAATCCCTTTTTTCTGACAAAGCTGACAACATTATGAGGCAGGTTCTTTGTTCAATGGGACAACTATCTTAAACAGGATTTTAAAATTTTTTATTTTAACTTAAGGAGTTGCTCAGTTTGACGATGTGCTGTTGGAGCTGCTCAAGGCAGGCACTCCACCGAGACACCTCTCGTCCAGCTTCCTAGAAATAGCTGTTCGCTGCC